GATAAGAAAAAAAGTGTATATTTGATTATATGGTGCATAAAGAATTCATTTGTACCCATAAGTCGGGTTTATATATATATATATATATATAGAAATTCAAAAACACTATAATGTATAAACTTAATTTATCAGTCAAACAATACTACAAAAAAACTCACAACCAAAAGTAATACCAAGATATACTATCAACAACTTTATTTTTAGCACTTTAAAAGCTTTTAGTTTAATCTTGTTTTGCTCTCATGTAAACATAATTATTATCATAATCCAATGACTGAAAAGCATGTAAGGGTAAACTAATGTGCAAAAAAAATAATCATGCAACAAGTACAAAAGTAAAGACAATTATACTATCAATCACCAACATGTAAGTCATATAACATAACTCATCATTACCTACAACAATAACACCTCAGCATGACATTTAATAACCTTACAAAGGTAAACAATTTAACAACATACACCAACAACCCTACCATTCAACAATAATATCACACAACATATGAATAACACCAAAATATCACATCATATACATAACACCTAAACTACACGTGTTGTTACATATTCACCTGTAGAGATCCCCTACAACAAAGGTGAGTAGTTTAAGTAACTTAATCCTACCGAACTAACACGATCCCAGCTAAATTAACAGTCAAGTTATGATACCAATCCTTAACAACATGATTTCTCGAATATTTTTATGTAAACTAGGAAGTATAGTATTCTTGTTAGGATAAAAAAATTTGGGTATGAACTTACCACAACATTAGCTTAAAATACTAAGCCCTCTATGAGATTAGCTCATTGACTACCCTCCAAATACTACACTCTTCTAGTACTCAATTAGGAACTAAACCTTTGACCTTGTACCTTACTCGGTTAGTTACTTTATTCATGTATTCCTTGACCTAGCCCACATACAGATCAACATTGGTCACTTGTAGTTGTTATGTCTCGACTTGATCCACATACTACACCAACTAAGGTCCTAAAGTAGACTCAAATTTCCACTTTAATAGTTAACTAATTAATAAGGGGTATTTAACAATTGAGCTTGTAGAGAACCACACCAATATCCTCAAAATGGGATATCCAACTTTCAAAAATACCATTTCTTTTAGTCCTAAGTCGATCAACATAACATGTCTAAATGTCTAAAGTTTTATCAGCATGACACCTCAATAGTTCAACAACTATTAATCCATATGCATTATCTCTTACCAATAAATATAGAACTAACAACTTTAAACAACATACAATATGCAATAAATTTACCTAATATATCAATGATTGCCTTTTTTAATCCAAACAACATGTTTTTACAAGACACATCATGCTCGATGCCATTTACCTTCCATTTAGTGTCATTGAGACAAGCAACTCTTTACCTTGCCCATACCTGATGCCATTCAACTCGCGTCTTGCGTGGATGAAATCAAAGATGCTTTGGGATGATCACGCCTAGTGTGACTAAACCCATGCCCGGGCCCAATTCAGGTAAAGACGATTCTCTCTCTTCATGTCCGACATCACCCCATTGATACTCAACATCAATCAAGAAAACAACTCTGTCTTGGTCCCACTATGTGCCACATAACCTAAGGCCCAATGTTAAAGACAATTCTCCCACCTCATACTCGACATCATTCAAACCATGTATGACATAACTAAGTCAAAGGCTTTTCTCTTTCTCCACATTGGTGCTACCAATCTTGCGTTCAACATGAATGAGACAAAAGGGTCCCTATTTTGAGCCACGCCTGGTGCCATGAAGATGCGCCTGATGTGATGGTGAATTCTACACTTGACAAACTCACGAATTTGCTCAAAATCACTTAAAATCTAGAAAATCCAAGCATGCTACACCAAAATTCACAAGTATGCATCACATACAATTAATTTCTTATCAAAATAACATGCAACACTAATGAGACAAATCATCAAAATTACCTCCACATGTTTCACACACCTAAAACTCCTCAAAACATGTATTTCATTCCAAAATTCATCAACATAACAATGAATTTAGATGAAATCCTATAACACACAACACCAACAATCAATAAAGATTCATTTTTAGCTCCCTTTACCTTGAAATAAAAAAGAACCAGGGGAGAATAATAAGAACGAGCTCCAAGCAACTAGAAAGCTCCACAACTATTCAACGAGGTCTACTTTCCAAGCTTCCCAAGCTTGAATCTCTACTAAATCGTCTACAATAATCCTTTATGCACTTGAGAAGGCTAGGAGGAAAGAAAGAAGATTTTAGAATCTTAGAGTTCCCCTCTCTAATTTCTCCTCAAGGTTCTCTAAAAAATGAGTTTATGACGCTTAAGTCTCACTTTTCCCTCGATGCCAAACTGCATCTTTGTTCAAAGAAACCCTTTAAACCACCTAAACTCACAAAAATTTATAATTTCTTAGAATTTCTCAACAATAGGCCCCAATACTTCACAACACATAATTATTGATAAAAACAATAATAATTTAACAAAAATGCACAATGTTACATTTTAAAAATTAACCAAACTTTTATAAAATGTTTCACAAAATATTTTTAAAAAATGTTTTTAAGAATAGAAAACATATTTGAAGGTAAAATTTTGAGTTTTAAAATTTGTGACAAATGTTATTCTTTATGAATTTGAAATATATAAATCATTCTAATTCTTCGATGCTTTAGGAAGATTATTAATGAAAAAAGATTGAGTTTCACTAATCATAAGATTTTGCCTTTTCAATTTAGAAACATAGGATGATAAAAACTTCTTTACATGTTCTCAAATATTTCATCATGAATGCTTTCAAAATTTTGAAGTGAGGTCCAATTAAAGTTTTGAAGTTAAAAGTGGAATTAAGGAGGTTAGGTTAACCATGAAAACAAAGTATTGAAGTTTTGAAGTTAAAAGTGGAATTAAGGAGGTTAGGTTAACTATGAAAACAAAGTATTACTCTTTAAATGATTTAATTTTGAAACATTATTAGTGTAAAAATGTTTAAATGTCAAACTATTTTGGACAAGGATTTGATGGAGGTCAAGGATTAACTTTTAAAAACTAGGACGAATACATAAACTATGTGCTCTGGTGTGATTCCCCCATTAATTTAACCATGATTTGAAATACATGAATTTGTAAATAAAATTCACACCAATTTGAATTTGGTCAAATCCCTTGTGGTTAACATTGGTCATTTGTCACTGTTCACATAAATGCATCTTTAAAAAGAAAGGTCTTGTCACATTTAATAGGTAATTTTTTTTAGACATTCACATCTTTCACTTGTCATTTTTTTTAGTAAAAATGGAAAAAAAATACATTAAAAAATCTTAATTTTCTCCATGGTCATTGATCACCGAAAACTCAGAACTATCCAATAATTTTTCAATTTCCTTCCTAAATTTACCCTACTAATAGGTATTACTTTATCATAGGTGTTCATTTAGATCCTTGGAGCCATGGATCTACTTTTGTAAATACCAAAGATTTCTTCACTTAGGCATACTTTTCACTCATCAGAATACCCATAACTTTTTTTTAAGTATTTGTAAAGGATTCTATTGTCACCCACAACAACTAGTTTCACTTGAAAAATTTGTGAAAAGAAAAAAAGTAATATAAAAGTGATTAGTTGACTATTACTCCCATGTTATGCTCACCATATGAAAAGGTTAAAATCTCATCTTAGTCATACCTATTATATATTAAGTTAAATTATACTTTTCAATCCATAATCTTGGTCATTTTTTAATTACATAGTTTTAATCTTTTTTGTTAATTAATAATATTTGTTAATTAATAATGACGTGACATGTTAGTTTTAACCTAATATTATAATAATAACATGACAACTTATATAATTGATGACGTGAATTAATAATGTAATACTCACATAATAACAAAATATAAAATTTTAAAAATAAAAAAGTAACTCCATTACTTATTATGTTATCTATGTTTTTTAATCACAAAATAAACATTATATTATATATGACACTACTATATGAGTTATTTAATTTTTTTAAAGTTTCCTATTTAATGTCATACCTAATTTAAAAATAATAAATAATAATTTTATTTAATAAAAACAATAAATTTGTTAATAAATAAATCATATAATTTGTATATAATAAATATAATCATACGGTCCCTTTTGTTTTTCATTTCCTTTTTAACTTAATTTTTCTCATTTTTTTAAGCACATTACTTAGGTTATACCATTCATTATATAAAGATATACTAAATAATAAATATATCAATATTACATTATTCATTTTGCTTATTTGAATATTTATATTTATTTTATCTGATTCAAACAATATTTTCTTTTATAAATAATACATTTCATCTCTATTTTTTATTTAATATTATAAATTTTATTATTTAATATATTTTCCATTCAATAATATAAATATAATATAAAAAATATAATACAACTCCAATAAGAAAAAAATAATAAACACATGAGATATAATAAAGAGAAAGAAATGTAAAGGCAAAAACTTTACATCAAATCAATTGCATAAAGAGATTATTATATTAAAATTAAAAATAAGGATTCATGGATGCCCCATTTAACACCTTTTATTTTTTTTTTTAATCACATGATATCTTTAGTTTTTTCTCTTCTATTTTTCCATGTCTCAATTAACGGGTACATAAATGTCCATCAAACATTATCCTAAATTTTTTTATATAAACATTATCCTAATTTTTAATAATAACAAAGATAAAGATGATACAAACAAAGTACAAACTACAATGAGCATTAGATTTTGAACGAAGAGAACAAAAAAGAGTTTATAAAATTGCCGATTATCATGTCAAACTATCTTAATAAAAGGATGAGATGACATATCCATTTGAAGTACTGCCACGTGCCTCCTGGTGGGCCCACTATCCCCCACGTGTCTAAACTTTATGGATGCAGTGTACTAAAAAATATTAAACTATTACAAAATAATAATAATAAATGAAATATGGATTTGATTTAAATAAGAATTGAGTTAAAGCGTAGACCGTACTATTCCCGTCTCGTCTCGTTAGCAAGAAAACCAAAAATTCCTCGGCGGCGGGACAGTACCAACTCACGCACTCTCTCTTCGGATCTCACCGCCGCCGTCCACGGCGGTGCCTCCTCTCCTCGATCTCCCTCACGCCGGTGACTATTTTTTCTTCTTTTATTTTTTTTTATGGTTTCTAGAATATATGTCTAATCAAATTTCCCAAACGAATCGTTTTTGTTTTTCTGGAGGAATTCGAATGGTTTGAATTTTTAATTGTCGTTTTCTTATTTTTATTTTTCTTCTCGAAATCAGAATTAAAAATTTGGTTTATAATTTTCGTTGTTGTTTTTGTAGATACCGAGAAGGTAAAGTCGTTAACGATGGCCGAAGCCTCTGGTAGCAAGAGTCGTGGCACGTTGGCTCTTTCTGGAGGCTGAAGAAGGCGAGAATCTTATCCGATTTTCTTATTTTATTTGGCAAAATAATTTTAAAATCTGTGTGTAACGAATGAAATTGAATAAAAAAAAAAGTCTAAAATCTGTTACGTAATGTGGATCTTTGAATTTTTAATCATTTTTTATTTGAAGCTTCTTCTTTTGTCATGCACATGATAATCACAACAAGAAGAAGAATAAAGTTTAATTTTCATACACTATTACTGAGAAGATTTTTACATTGTCGGTTATTAGATGTCATTTTACCTTTTGATTTTTAAGATGATATTATAAAATTCAACAAATTTACTGTATATTACAAATATGTGACTGGATGACAAATATAAATTTCTTGCTAGTGTTTTCTAATTCATTTCATAATAATAATGAGTAGGATCTGTGAATTCTTACTTCATTTCAAGCTTTGTGTTCTTTAATTTGTGTATTTTCTTTTAGAATATTACACTCATGTTTCTAAAGAAATATGGCTATGCCAAGTCGCATGATAGTCAGATTTTACACATCAATTTAGGTTGTGGACTTAAATCATGAGATAGAGTACGCTTAGAGTGACTTTAGTGCCAGGTTTATGGTCAGTTTGTTTTAAATATAATGATAGTCGGTTTGTCTTTAGTTGAGTGGTTAGGGAAGTTAGAGCTTTGAACTTTTTAATTAATTAAGGTTTTGAAAGAGGTTTCAGAATGTCCTTTCTTTTGGGGTCCACTTGATATGAGGAAATTCAAGCCAGAATAAGTAACATTTTATAATGTGGTTGAGATTATAGGTTAAGCAAGGAACATGAAAGAAAATTAAACTCCTTTGAAAACATAAATTACATCGTACTCTCCACTTTCTAGTGAATGGTCCTAATTTCGTTATCCGCTTTAGTTACTCATATAAAGATCAACCGCGTTTTTCTTCATCAAAGCACAAACTATCCTGGTGCTTATAATCACCGGTTAACACTGATTTCTTTGGTTAGGAGTAGCTAAATTGATATGTCATTATGTTGCACTGATGGAGGTGACGTGATATACATCAACATCTTTTTCTTTCAATTACTATTATTGATTAGATGCCTCTGATCCTTCAATAACTAATTAAAACTCCATTGTTAAATTTGCAAGACTGTTCGTTTCTGATATGGTTTAGCATCCTTTCCCTGTGCTTGACTGAACATTAAGATATGAAAATGAATTTGCTTTTGTTTGTTGTTCTCTTTAGTAATATATCTGTGTAGTGATTTTACCTTTCATTTTCAATCAGCTTGTGTTATCAGGTGGGCATCTCCGATGTAGCGGTTTGGTAGAGTTAAATCAGTTTTGTAGAGTAAGCTGTTATGTGAGAACTTTTGGAGTTTTTTCGATTTTACAGGATTTACTATGATTGTTTATGGAAAAAACTCTTATCTGCAACATCAAGTGTCGGCATTCGAGTTTGGTGTTTGCTTGACAGAGAAACTCTCTGCCACTGCCACCTTTGCTGCTGGCATTCAAGTTTGCCTCTTCTCCTTCTCCTTACATGTATCCTGATTTGGACACCTGTTTACGCGATGAGATGGCGGTTGCAGCCTTCAAAGGACCTCCCAGTGAGTGCTGTGGGAATAAGAAAATGGAAAGAAAACCTTCTGGGAGGAGACGTGTATTTGTTCAGACTGAAACTGGGTGTGTTTTGGGAATGGAATTAGATAGAAGTGACAATGCCCATACTGTGAAAAGGAAATTACAGGTTGCATTCAATGTCCCAACTGAGGAAAGCTCACTTACATGTGGGGACATGGTCTTGAAGAATGACCTAAGTGTGGTTAGAAATGATTCTCCACTTCTTCTCACTAGGAACTTTTTAAATAGGAGTTCATCTACCCCGTGCCTTTCACCAACTGGCAGAGATCTTCAGCAGCGGGATCAGAGTGGACCAATTGAGGTTATAGGTTGCTCGGATATGTTTTCAGGAACCAAACAACTGGTTAAGGATATTAAGAAGGCAATAAAAGTTGGCATTGAACCAATCCCCATTCAGAGTGGATTGGGAGGTGCATATTATTTTAGGAACAGCAATGGTGAAAATGTTGCTATTGTGAAACCAACTGATGAAGAACCTTATGCACCAAACAATCCTAAAGGTTTTGTTGGCAAAGCTCTTGGGCAACCAGGACTTAAACGTTCAGTGAGGGTTGGGGAGACAGGTTTCAGAGAAGTTGCAGCTTACCTTCTTGATCATGATCATTTTGCCAATGTGCCCTCTACTGCCCTTGTGAAGGTCACACATTCTATTTTTAATGTCAATGACAGGGTCAATGGTAGTATGCACAATAACAAGAAGCAAATAAGCAAGATCGCATCACTGCAGCAGTTCATTCCTCATGATTTTGATGCGAGTGATCATGGAACTTCAAGTTTCCCTGTTGCTTCTGTTCATAGGATTGGGATTTTGGATGTACGAATTTTAAACACAGACAGACATGCAGGAAACCTTCTGGTCAGGAAGCTTGAAGGGTTTGGAAGATTTGATCAGGTGGAGCTTTTTCCCATTGATCATGGTCTTTGTCTCCCTGAAAGTTTGGAAGATCCTTATTTTGAATGGATCCACTGGCCTCAGGCATCAATTCCTTTTTCAGATGATGAGCTCGACTATATATATCATCTAGACCCATTTCGTGATTCTGAAATGCTCAGAATGGAGCTTCCCATGATTCGAGAAGCATGCTTGCGGGTTTTGGTTCTCTGCACTATCTTCCTTAAGGAAGCAGCAGCTTTTGGTCTTTGTCTAGCAGAGATTGGTGACATGATGAGTAGGGAATTTCAGGGTCACAATGAAGAGCCTAGTGAGCTTGAGCTTATCTGTATTGAAGCAAAGGAACTGTTAGATCAGGAAGAATTATCTTCTTTTGAAGCAGAAGTAGGAGACAAAGATGTGACTTTGTTTCAGTTAGATTGTGAGGGTCCAGATTTGGATTTCACTACAAACATTGAAGAGAAACCAACTGTGATGCCACCTTTTCAAGTTGGAGCTAGAAATGGAATTGTTAGAAACCCACTTTCTAAACTAGAGGAGAGTGTGATGGAGGAGGACGAGGCTGGGTGTGAAGAGGAGTTGCCCTTAGGTGGCGATGAATACAATGGTCCGGTTGAAAATGGGGTGCCTAATGTTTCAAAGCTGTCTGTGTCTGTGAAAAACACGAAAATTGATGAAAAAAGTTGGCAGAACATGAGTGTAAAGCAAAAGAGTGGCTTTTTGGCTGGTACATCATCTGGAAACACAACTGTGAATGAGTTGCCTGCAAGCTCTAGTTTCGTGAAGCTAACAGATATGGATGAAGACAAATGGAATCTGTTTCTGGAGAATTTCCAAAGGTTGTTGATCCCAGCTTTTTGTAATTGCAAACGAGGAAATGTGAGCAAGAAGCAGAGACAGAGACTTGGAACTTCATGCCAGTTTTAGGGGGACTATAAATGAAATTTGAAGTGAACAAATAAACATTAGAGGCTTGTACAATGTGTCACACGGTACACATTGAATTATATATACATAAAATAAATACAGATGCTTTATTTTCGCAACACTGAGGGGGAGGGAGTATGCAGTAGTAAAATAGTAAACGAACATTTTCAGGTAGGAAGGTCTTGCATCAGCAAATAGTGGGCAGATCTTATTAACTAGTAGATGTGAAGACTGTGTCCCGATTTGCTCCTTTTTATTTTTCCACTTTATGTTCACTGGTTAGTACGTTGAATAATTTAGAGTAGATACCGAAATAAATTTGTGTATATCAATATTTTCCTAGTTTTAAATGATATTTCTTGTGTGGTTTGTTTGTCGCCTTTAAATTCTTATGTTTTTATCTGTTTGATATATTTTCAATAAATGCTTGTGTTGTGGATAGGCAATCCGTTGTCCAAATTATTTCTTTATTTGGATGTGGAAAGAAACATGGAAGAAGGGAGTAGGAAAGAGGGAAAATCGAGTAGAAAATGAGTTTTTTTTAGGTTCTTTAGATTAAAAGAATTTAGAAATAGGAAAATAAAGAAAATGAAAATTGATTTTTTTTAACTTGTTTGTTCGGGATAAAAAAAATGAAAGATATTTAAGTTATTGTAAAATAATAATATAAAATAAAAATAAGGACATTTTGATCATTGTATTTTACACTCTTCTCTAGTTATTTCTTTTCGAGTTGGAGTTACTTTTACGTAAAATTCACATTTTCTTCTTTCTCTTCACCTCTTACCTTTTTAAATAAAATTCTCATTTTTTTTCTTCTTTCTCTTCACCTCTTACCTTTTTAAATGCATCATATCTAGAAACTGTATTTTCTTTCTAAACTTTCTCCCGAAGAGAAATTATATTTATATAACAATTTATAACGATGACAGAAAAATATAACAAATAATTGATGTAACGAGAGATAAAAAGTAAAAAATATTGTATAAAAAATTTGAATGTATAAATATTCTCAAATATACTATTCCAAACGTAAGGCGCAATGTGCCAAACTTGACTTATATATTTATATTTTATATATTCAGAATCAAATCTTGTGAAACCCCTCTGCTAGAATCAAATCTTGTGACAGCAGCAAGGAGAGAATTCCCTATTTGCTAAGGCTGGTACCAAATGACATCTCAAACTGTTTTACTATTATAAACTTTTGGATTTATTTTGCAGAACGGCAAGGTATTTGGAATCAAACAATTCACCCTTCTATTCCTTTCACATATTTTGTGTGCACTTTTAGTTCCAATACTTAACACTATTAAGTTAAAGAGAAAAGTAATTCATAATGTGACAAACTGAAAATTAGTGTGAGCAAACAAAAAGTCTTCAATTATTCGTCCGAGTAAAAGGGAAACTTATTCCTGTCAATCATCCATATTATCTTTATTTGTTCCTCAGAAAGCTCTTACATTTATCCGTATAAATGATTGATGGTAAAAAATTGAATTTATTTCTGTTAATTTCCTACCAAAACTCGCAAGACAGAATTGATTATTTACAAATCAAATCATGTTTCACAGTAGTATAGGATCCGCTTTTGTTATCTGTCCACTTTGCCTCACATTTGCAAGAACATGGACATGCATTTCCATATTTTGCAGTTAGTGGTTGATTCAATGATTTTTTTTCTTCTATAAACTTTCTTGTTCCAAAGACTACAAAAAGATTTTTCACCCCAAGTATATGAATATGCTTTCACCCCATTTCTCCGTGGTTCATGGTGGTTATTTTACTCAATTCAACCTGTTGATCCTCTATTTGACTCACAGTTCGAGAGATGTTGTCACTTGCAAATGACATGGTGTCCTCTTTCATGAGGCGCCTTTGATTAATCCTCAATATACCCTGTGAAACCTCACCAATGGAGGGGCGTTTCTTGGGTGATTTGTGCAAACATTTGTGTGCAATTTTAGCAAGCTGTCTCACTTCTTCAAGATCGCATTTTCCCACAAGTTGCTTGTCAAGAATCCCATCTACACCATCATAATCCATTGCAGCCTTGCAGAAAATAAAATAAAGGTATGAAGAAGAAATATCAGCCTAAAGATTTATTATTTATATAAATAACACTACCACTAAGAATTCAAAATGAAGTAGTTCCTTTCCAAAGAAAAAATAACTTACAAGATTGATATATTCCATCAAATTTTGATGTGGGTGGATTGCAGTGATAAGCTCAAAAATTATTATACCAAAACTATAAATGTCACTCTTCATTGTGAAGTTGCTCGAGGAAATGTATGCTGGATCCATGTAGCCATATGTACCTTTAAGGCTAGAATTACGGCCATCAAAGATCTCTTCCTTTGAGAGCCCAAAATCAGAAACCTGCATAAATCAGTGATTTTGGAGATAATCAAATACGAAACAGGAAAAGGGAGATAATTTATACTTGTCATTATGTTAGAATACTAGAGGTTAGAAAACTTTGCTTCTATAGTATTCAGCTGCTGTTGGGTGAATTCCAACATAGAAATTGTTCAGTTTAGTTCGAAGTTGTTGAGATATCATGAGAAATATTGCCGATTTAGGTAATTAAGGAAATTTAATCTCTTTCCATTATTTCAATTAAAAAAAAAATAATTGTAACAAGCTTAAAGCTTGGTAAGCTTCAACTTGAGAGAGTTTTGAGATACTGGCTTAACTTCTCCAAAAAGCTTATTTTAATTTATGCATATTTCCCTGAGACCATACCACCTGAGGTGATATATCAAAACTTAAGAAAATGAATAAAAATTACTGACTATCAAAAAGCAATAGTAGGAACAAGCTTACCTTAGCTCTCATTGACTGATCTAGCAATATATTAGCTGATTTCAAATCACGGTGCACGACGGGTGGGACGGCCTGTTCCATGCATATTCATATTAACCAAAGACATTTTCAGATAGTATAAGACAAAATATAACATTAAACATACCCCTTCATGAAGATATTCTATTCCGTGTGAAATATCAACAGCAATTTGCAGCCTTTCACCCCAACTCAATTTCTTTTCTTCATCTACATGCATGCGCAACACCAACTATTCTCAATAGTGATTAAAGACAACTTTATTGTAAGATTAAACGGTTATATAAAACAGAAAAATTCCTGTGTCATGTCTCATACTGGGAAAGGTGAAAAATACGTTATATTTACTAATAGTTGTGGACTACTAAAACATGTAAAAGAAAGTAATATCTTCCTTGGTAATATTATCATGCTAGTCTTCATATACAACTATCACAAAAGAAAATAAAAATTGACAGCCATAAAAAAAAATCTTAAGAGGAACATGAAAGATCTTCCACTTACCATATAGAAGGTTTTCTAAACTTCCATTACTCATGAACTGGTAAACCAGCATATGCTGTCCTTTATCTATGCAGTATCCTAACAAATTTACAAGATTTCGATGATGCAGTCTTCCTAGCAGAAGCACCTGGATCAACATGTCACTAAAAATCATTGAGTGGCTAAACTGGTGAGTGGTGATTAATGTTAAATTCATGGAGTAACTTGGAGTTTCTCAAATAAGAACCAACATCAATAAAGTGAAACCCAGTGGAAATAAGTGGGCTCCTCACCATTTCAAATTAATTATTGCATCTGGCAGATAAAGGAACTTATTGCCAGTAGGATTTTACGTGCCAATGATGATGACCATATTAAAAACTCACAATTTTTCAGGTCATTTAGGAATGTGTGTTCCAAAACAGAGTTAAAATCAACTGGCACACACACAGCATAGTATACCTTCCGTGAAATGACTAAAGTTGGGTTAAACTATGAACAAGTGAACAACAGACTATTTCATATATAAGATAATCAAAGCATTCTCTGCATGGTTCCTTCGAATTTTAATCATTATAATTTAGGTCAAATCAACAAATATCAAGCCATGTATGAGTCTATTAAAAATTAAACTGTAGTCTCTCAATCAAATCAAAACAAAAGAAAAGAGGAGGAAAAATAAAAGTCTAACTATTGAATCCCTTTCCAATATTACATAAATCAGTAGTGAAGACTCAAAGAAAACAAAAAGTTCTGCATCCCACAAACCTTGTATTAAAGTAGTTATTTGCAAAGATCTTCTCGTAAAAAGTTATTAGCATATACCTCTGTTTGAAATTCTTTCTCCCCTTGTTTGGAATTGGGAGCAAGCACCTTGACAGCTACCACCTCTCCTGTAGGCATTGTGGCTTTATAAACTGTGCCAAATGATCCTTGTCCCAATGTATTTGTGAAGTCATGTGTGGCCTTTTGAATTTCTCTATAGAACATGTAAAATGTTAGATAAATGTTAATGTCCCTTGGATGCATTTTTCATCTAAGCAATTTCTGGCCCTATTTTCTCTTTTTTCCTTCCAAACTAACATGCAATGTGGTTGCCCTTACATACAATGAAACTTCATTATAAAAGTTCATCATAAACATCCCAATTCCACAAATCAAGTACTCAACACTTTCTTAATGCAGCACCTATAAGGTTTACATCCTACTTAGTAGTTATCCAAAAACAAAACATTTTAGATGAAAGAAAGAAAGCACATCTCATGTTCCAGAAAAAAAATGTACTTACTTGTATGAGTACTTTAGAATGCCTGATGTTGAAGCAAACCCATCTGTGTTCTGATGATTCCACCAAGTTGAATGCAAACTTTTTTGAGGATTTGGTGACCTTGAAGTGGCTATGGAACTGGTGAGAGAAGCACTGAAGTCAATGCTCGTTCCTAATCCATTTGTTCGTATAGGGAGAGTCGTTAAACTAGGTTCATTCGCAGATCGACCAAGATGACTTCGCTTCTTATACCACCTTATGCCAAAATATATGAGGCAAGCAATCAAAACTCCAAGGGCCACCCCAACAGAGACACAAATGATAACTAAATCAGCTTGATTAACCATTCCTTGCTCTCTCTTGATATTCAAACAACTCAATCATCTTGATCTTGCATAATACTATCACTAGAAGTTCACTGCCACAAAATTAACACAACTTTAAGTTAATTCAGCACTTTATCCAGCTAGAACTGATACCGATTCCACACTTCATCATCAACAACAATCAATTTGAAAGATGAATCTAACCAAAAATACAATATTGAAACATCTAATGCCTTGATTATTCAGCAACAATCAACACGTCAAAACAATTTGCCTACTCAAAGATGGTGTCCCAATAATAAGCCACTTTACTAAAATTCAACAAATTTTACAAAACAAACCCATCATCCATAAAACTCATAACCCACCAACCCAAATTCAACAACAACAACAAAAAACTGATCTTTTCAACAAAATCAGGAGAGAAAGAACCTTGTTCAGAAAACTGAACTCAATTGTGGTAGTTGTGTTGATTAAGGTCCAAAGTATGAAGAAGGTAGCAAGATGAAAAAGAGAGAAAGAAGGTTTGAAGAGAAATTAAAACTGAAAAAACAAAAAAAAAAAAAAAGTGGAAGAAGAGGTCTGAGTTGGAGGCTTCTTCATGCTTTGAAACGAAACCAAATAGAAGAAAAACGCGGATTAATTTGGTAGCGACTGCGTCTTAATTTAAGTTTTAAAAAAAAGTTTAATTTTTAACAAAAAAAAATATACGTTTTTTATTAAAAAAAATGTTATACTTTAAAGTTTAAACTAAAGGTTTCATAGTCATTGTTATAAGTTATACAGTCAACTAATTATAAATAATTATTAGTATCATTTTTAATGAAAGTTAACAAATTATCATAAATAATCATTTTTTGAAATTATCATAAATAATCATTTGTGATTATATAATTATACAAAATTATTTTATACTATAATTACACTGTTTTCCTCTTAAAATAATAAAGATCATACTGATTTATATAACCTAAAAGGTAAACATTAGAAAATTAACAAACTTAATTGAATTACAGTACTTTGCACTATTACATATATATACCATTTACATATAAAAATAGCAATAATTGACTAATTGTTGTTCATATATAATCAAATCTCTACAATATTTTAATCCCAATTGTGTATCTATTACCATAATTTCTTTATTTTTAGGAATTAATGTCAGGAAAATATCTCAGTGTACATCGATACTATTAATAGAATAAATTATTTATTTTATTTTCATAATTTTAGATAATTTTATTCTTATAACAATCTATTTTATAAAATTACAAATTTTTGTTTTTTCTATAAATTTCACTTCATAATCATCTATATTTTTAATAATCACTTACTATTATATAATATTTATTATTTATTATTTCTAAAAATAATTTATGAGGATGTCTTTTGTATGTTAATGATTAATAATATTCATAATTGATTCAGTTCAATGTAAATTGCATTAATTGAAATAAAAAATCAAAATCAAAAATTGAAAAATTAATTTTTTTTAATTATATTGAATGCTTTTTTATTCTAATAAGAATATCAATCTAGTCCAAACTAATCTAGACACTTTTTTTTTCTCTATATACCTGACTATTGTATTTTTTTTATTTTGTTTGATTTTTTTATATTGTAGTAAATAATGTTTGACTATTAAATACTTAAAATTGACTGATTTACTTAATTTTTTAAGTTAATGATTATATCATGTTATCGAATATTGATAAATTATCTATTATGACTTATATTATTATTAATTAATTAATTAATAATATTAATAATTATTTTTATTCATTAAATTATTATAACTTTTGGTCTTTAAAAATATTATAGTTTTGTTTAAAAAATTAAAATTCTATTCGGTCCAAACTATAATATATATATATATATATATATATATATATATATATATATGGATTAGATTGAATATGATTTTTAAACTAGTTCAATTAAATCATCAATGTCTAATCTTCAAACATCCTTTAAACTTTAGCTCTCACTTTCTTATTTTCTATCCTCACTTTGATTTCTGTCTTCTTCCTCACAAAGTGTTAAATATTATTGATTGTAACCCATCTTTGTTACCCTTAAAAGAGAGGCATTCCAATAATTGGCCCAAGTCTGTATCAAAGAAGTACCAATTATAAGAAAGTCATAAGGCATAATTTTTAAAACATCAATTGTGTATATTTTTTAATGTTGTTATTTGATATTAATAGCCAAAAGTTTAAAAAAATTTGACAACTTGTAGAAAATGAAAGTTAAATATATTATAAATTTACTTTCATACATTATGATTATATATAATAATACTTATTTATTTTAAATTACGATAGAATGATCACTAAATACATGAATCAACTTATTACATAAGAAGTGTTTTAGTTTTATTAATAGTTTTAAGGTAAACATTCAATTTAATCCTTGAAAGATGGTAGAGGTGATCAATTGGTCTTTAAAAGATTTTTTTTTATGGTAATTAGGTCCATAAATTTTAATTTTGTCATTTAAGTTAGTTTTTCCATTATACTCAATTACCAAAATCTAGTAGATTTTTGAACAATTAATAGTTAAGTATTTTCTTTCCTAATCACCTAATATGAATCGTAATTTTGATGTTTTTTAATCAACAATGAATATCTTGTCATATTTAAATATTATGGTCAGCGGTGCTCTAGTTAAAATGGAAGATTATTGTTGAGTAGGATTTCCTGTAATAGATTTCTTTTGTCTCAACCATCTCTAATTTTTTTTATTATGTTACATGTTTGGATTGTAAATCCTAAATTATTAAATTTATGATTTAACAATATGAGTAGTCGTTCTAAAATATCTAAAGTAAGGATGTGTATCGAATATGGGTGTCGCTATGTCTAATAAATCGCAAAACTCCTTTGATAAAAATAGGGAAAAGTTTAATGACAATGGTCATCTTTGCTATTGTGGAAACAAGACTCTATTGAGGGTTTCATAAGTAAGTAGAAATCCAAGAAATTTTTTTCACTTACCCTTTACTACTCTGACGATGTTAGGTGAATTCTTCTTCAACGATATCTCAAATCCTTATCTCATATAAATGAGTTTCGCATCTTACATAAATGGGTAAAATGGGATTTGAGAATGGGAGTTAGTTGAGATAAATAAGTTATTCAAATGTTGCTTTTAGGCATGACAATCTAACCCGACCTCGTGGGTACCTGTTCGAACCTATCCCGATTTGGACGAAGAAAATTTGTGTTGATCGGGTTCGGGTTCAAGTTTTCCCTGATTAATATCCACCCTGTTCCAGTACCCGTCCCCGTCTCACTTAATAATATAATTAAAAAATTATTTTTATATATATATAAACCAAAATTAGAAACCTTTATATGTAAAAAATTTGTATTATCTTACTTTTTTATTTTTATTTTTTTCATATTTATTCTAAATAGAAGAAAAAAAGGGTTCAGAAGCGAGGATGGGGCAGGGAAACCCGAAACCCGTCAGGGACGGGAATTAATACCCAGATTTTACCTCTAATGGGTATCGGGAACGAGGACGGGAGCGGGGGCAGTTTAAATTTGTGGGGCAGGGACAGGGAACATAAAACCCGCCTCCGCCCCACTCCGCCTTGTTGCCATGCCTAATTACTTTAGTTATTTTAAAATTAAATTAAAAATTAAGCCTTACTTTATCATGTGTTTAAATATATTTAATCATTAATTTTTGCATGTCAATTGAAAAAAAAAATGTGTCAACATAATAATTAATAGTTAACATGAGACTAACTTAGTTATAGTAATTGAATATAATGAAAAAATTAACTTATATAATGGAATTAAAATTTAAATATTTAAATATTAATTTTTTTTTAAGTATCTATCGATCACCTTTATCATCTTTTAGAAATTAAATTGAGTGTTTATTCAATAATTTTGCATTCAAATTTTATATATATTCAACTATATTAAATATTTAGAAAAAAAATTATATCTAAATTAAATAAAATTATCTCCCATAAAACATCCGTAGCCTCTTAAAAACGTCATGTTAGGAATTAGGGAGATTAAATTTTGTTTCATTTCATTTCCTCTATACTAGGTTAAATAATTCACGAAGCCGGTGATATTACGTGGCTATTGGATGTATTTGGTTTCGGACCCGTTTCACGTAAACAAAATGTCGTTTGTATTTAATCTTTGTGTCTCGTCCAATTCAATTCAATGAAAGATTTCTACAAATAATGGTTTAATTAAAGGTTTCAACAATAGTGTATAACTCGTGAAAAATATATTTAAAGGAATTAATAATTATACTATAAACAATCTACGTGCACCAAAACTATTTCTAGTCCGTACGTAAAAGCCATTTAATAATACTAATTACTAAATAATATTTCTAACACTAATAATAATAACAACAAAAAGTTTTAAATTATGTGGAGCCACCCTTTGAGGAGTCATTCGGCGGCAGAGTGGTTTAATTTTTATCATTTTGCCATCGATTTTTCCAATAGTTATTTATCGATCCTAAAAGTTTATTTTTGATTACTAATAATATGAATAGTTTTATATTTGTGTTTACGATTAAAAAAGTGTTAAAAAAATTGATAGGACATATTATTTTCTTTTATAAATTTTACTATAATTGTATATTATTTACGTGAATAATTATACTTCTATATATTGACTGATGATTAAAAAAAAATGTTAATCAATACGGGAAATTTTGATAAGTTTTAGTTTTTGCATATTAGTCTCTTATTAATTTATTACATTTTGTATAATAATATTACATTATTTACATGTCTTTAAACTTTCAATTTTATTTTTTCTCACAAAAATATTTCTTTCTCTGTTGTTTCTAACTGACGATTTTCAGCAGAGAATTTCAACTAAAATTTGGATTTCATTTTTCATTTATTTTTATTCTTTATTTTCTTTCCCTTACTCTCTTTCTCCACACCTACATCCGTGTTTTACATGGCTTCAACTTCAAAACTCTAATACTTTTATTAAGACGATTTGTCTTGTAAGCAGCAAAGAAGATAATTCTTCCAAGAAGACAAAAATGTACTTCCGTAAGAGAATGGTGAAATGATTTTAGTTTCTCTCTCTTTGTCGTTTAATTTGCCCCGTTTGAAATGTTGGTATTCATGAAAATTAAAGTGAGTAAGTGACTAATTGTATTGGTCTGATGAGTAGATGTTTTGTGTTGCAGTTAATGATGATTATGAGGGAGAGTTTATCTTTTCATTTTTCGAAACTCTATGAATTGCAGTTTACAAATTTACATTCTTCGAACTTCATCAACTATTACAGTCCTTCACTCTCCCCCCTCGTCACACACAGGTTAAAACCCTCTCCATTTCTTTCATTACTAAGTTTTACATAACTTATCATAAAGTATATATTAATTATATTAATTTATTTTATTAACTTTTTAAAAAAAGTAAATGAAATAAAAGAAATGTATACACACCTCACACACTTTCCTTAACTTAATTTTTTGCGTTCTTTAAAAGTCAATATTAAAGAAAAATTTGCAATTATTGTCAAAATGTAATTTATTAGAAAAAATGGATGTTGGTATGGAGAAAGAGGGTAAGAGAAAGAAAATGAAGAATGAAAATAAATGAAGAATAAAATCCAAATCTGAGAGAGAATGGAACTGAAAGGTCAAAATATTCTCTAAAATATAATAATAAAATAATAAATTTGATAAAAATCACATATAATATCATTTAAATGATCCTAATCAAAAGAAACATTGATGCCCTCTAAATAGAATTTGTGCAAAAAAAATTGCCAAAGAAAAAAATGGTAGATTTTGGATTTAGTAAGAGGAACTAGTCTCATGTAATAAAGCGAACCAAGGTTTTAAATTTCTATTTAAGAGAAATGTCCATATCTTGCTTACCAAAAAAATGACATAGATATAGTATCAAAGAAAGTCCAACAATGATTTATTTAACTGAAACCTATATATATTTGATTTTTATTCGGTGTGTAAAAACTCATCAAATCAATAAGACTGCGATTAGTTTCTAAATCAATAAGTTATGTGATACACGTGACAAAACTAATAAAAATAAAAATTCAACAAAATTACTAGATAATTGGATTCCTTTACCAACCAGTGAGAAATTTAAATTAGTTCCATCATATATAATTCGCTTAGAAAAATATAATTCCTTGATTTGGCGTCTGAGATATATGTAAGTATAATCATCACAATTAACATCAATTGTACTCTACTCGTGAGTCATGACCATCCTGATCAGCACTGCGCACTACTATATTTGTCTCTTTTGTGTGCCTTCTTTTTCTATTCTCACAATGCTATAGCTAGCATTACTTCATACTCTAATAATTAAGACTTATAAGAGGATAAGAACCATATATACTCACATGAGTAAGTCTGATCTGTCCTCATAAGCTATATTAAATTTTCACAAAAGAGAATACGTGTCTCATCATCTCATGCGGCAATCACTGCATTAGTTAAAGTTAAATAACCAAACCATAGACCCATCCATGACGTGAAACCTCTATATGGGTAACTAGCATTGCGATCTATTTTATTAATTAAAGATGTTACGAAGATACACTTAATTACAACAACACTCTCAAACTGCATGCGTTCTACACATATCTATTTTAAGTATGAAATGAAACGAAACAACTATTTGTTAAGTCCTATGGATGCCTTTCTGACACATAAAAAACTATAATATAAAGCAAACCTATATTAATATCTATATATCTAGGCCATTACCAAGTAGTTGCTAGCACAACAACTTGGTGCAAAACTGTGAGTCTAGACATATATATTACTGATCTTGATAATCTCAATTTCTAGGCTCATGATTATTGATGGGTGGTCTGTGGCTTGGTTTTCCCCTATAATCCTTATATATCAGGTTTGCAATCTCTTTTGCAGCGTCAGCAAATCTTTGTGTTTCATCTTTACTTTGAGGTTCTTCAGAAATTTGTTGTTCATGACTTGAGGAACCCCCTAGGCTGGATTTAACTGGCACGACATTGCAATCTTGTGAACACTTGGGGTTTGTGCTGGTTGGAGTACTCCTTCGAGTTACAAACTTGGTGGATTTCAAATATTCCTTTGGTACCATTGTCATAAGCTTCTGCATGAATATAACCATGTCAACATGCAATCTGTGTAAAATATATATCTAGCTAGTATATGAAGCTATATAGCTTTAGGTTAATATATTGCATATTGGAAAGATTATATATTATGCTCTCTTTATAACAGCCACATATATATATATATAATGCATCACTCTAAATTTTGCTACGCATGTATATGCTCTATTAAAAAAAGCAGAGAGGAAAAATTTATGCAATGTATAGTTATCAGTGAGTAGAAAACCTGATCATCATTCTTTTTGTCTAGTGAGCTTCCTCCAGAAGACTTCTTTAAACCATCATTATCCTTGCCTGCAATATATATGGAAATAAACATATATGAGGATCCATAAGTACAATTTCTTTGATAGTGACACGCTTAAAGATCAATTATTGAAGAGAATAAGATTGATTTAATTCTTTGATATATAAGATTTTAGCATAAATTTTTACAATTTTCCTCAACAAAAAAGAAAAAGGACTTTGGGGTTGAAATTGCTGCGCATGAATCCACACAAATTAAAAGATATGTACATGAAATCTAGAAACAATTTTTCCACTCCAAGACTAGTGGTGAATGCTAATTAACTAGCAGACTCACAAGGGATTCACTCAGTTATGTTTTGGAAGGTGGTGCCTGGGTCCATGATAATCATCAGTGAAAGCTACAAAACCATCCATTTTGAGCTTTCTTGGTTTAATAGTACTTTTCTCCCCTTTACATTTTACTATTTTATGATCTCCCTCCCTTTCATCAAAGTCACATATTCCATCAGAATAGGTTGCACCTGAAATCTTTGAAGTCACTTCATGTCTGCTAAATTTCTTTCCCCCAAGCCCTAGCTTCCTCATGTAACCAGCTCCATTTCTCACAAATGGTTCCTATCATACCATGATACATGATCTTTACATATGATTAAATTAATTAGATAATAACATGAAAACAACATAGGAATAGTTAGCAATTGACATACCTCTTGAGCAAACACCCCAAGTTTGTTCTTGTTCCCTTCCTTACCTGCAGTTACATCAGTGCCAATCAGATCATACAATTTTTAGCTTGATCTTTAATTAATTTTTAGGAAGTAATTAATAAAAATATTACTAATATTTTACCTGCTAGCGCTGGAACAAGTACTCTTGCTGAAGAATCCCCTTGGACAGTCATGAGCAAGAGACATCCCAGTAAAAGGGTTGAGAGAACTGTGATCTTCATCTGAGTGTTTCTTCTTTTCATGAGTTTTTGTTTTCTCTTAACAACTGAAAGAGGGAAAACTTAACTAGCAGAACATGGTTTTATACAGTGTTCAGAGTTCAGACCAAGTCAAAGCTAGGGTTCCGACTCCTGTTCTTTTAATCATTATATTATTCCTCGGTATGTTAAAAACTTGGGAAAGCTCAATATCAGATTAATCAATTAATATAAATGTAATTAAGCTTGTTTTAACGTAGGAATAATTTATTATAAAAAAAAGGGTGTTGCTCAATCTCAAGTTTGAATGCGATTATATGGTTCGAAATTAAAATGAAAGCAAGCAGTCATAAAAAGTCTTAATTTGGTCGCCTTTATTCGCATATATAAAGTAATGTTTTTATATATTATTTTGAACAATTTATATAAAAAGAGAAAAAAAAATGTGAAATAAAATAGACAATAGATGTAATAAATAAGAAAATACAAGTGGGTAATTTTTTTATATAAACGATATTACATACTTGCTAGTTTCTGTGCAACATATATATATACGTTAATACTAATATATATAATACCCGAACTTCTACTAATTAAATATATACATATATATATATATATATATATATATATATA